CCTGCCTCCCTCCCCGCTCCTTGCAGGTGCTCACCTGTCAGCACGCAGGGCAGGGAGCGCACACCAGTACTTGCAGCCACAAGGGAGCCTTCATACGTGTCGCGCTCATCCTGTGGGAGCAGCTGCTCCAACCGCTGGTCCATGGACATGGTGAGCACCCAGTCCCTGACCTCCTCGCGCTTCTCCTCCTGCGGGACAGAGGCCGGGGTGCCCCCTGAGCTGGCCATGCCCAGCGCCTGCTTTTCAGCATGGGCAGACAGGGCCCTCCCGCAGCCCTGAGGCTGCAGCTCCGCTTGCTGCAGCTGAAGGTGGGGGATACTCACAGGCACGTGCTGCTGTGCTGGAAGTGGCACCTCAAAGGGAATGTCTGTCCTCTGGAAATCTGAGTGGTCCAGGGAATCCAGGTTCCCCTCTTCGATGGCCTGCAGGAGGAGGAGCCCCTGCAGCAGGCGCGCTCTGTGCCCGACGCCGGAGGAGGCCGGCACAGGCTCGTGAGGGTGCGCGGTTGCGCGGACACAGCAGCAGCGCGAGGCCCCAGCACCTGCTCAGGTGCTCTGCACCGTGCAGCCCGCACAGGGAGCAGCCCAGGAGGAGCCCGGGCGAGGCGCCGCGCCAGGAGCCGTGCCAGGAGCCATGTCAGGAGCCGTGCCAGGGCACTGCCCAGGCCTTCAGCCACGTGCGAGGATGCCAGGCGGCATCGCTGCTCCCTGCAGGCTCCCTGCGGGCTGCAGCACCCCCTGCTTTTCTCTCGGGGCCGCAGTTGTGGCCCAGTGCTCCAGCACATGGGTAACTCCTGCTCACCTGGACCTGCTGGTTAGATCTGTCTCCCATGGCCCATTTTACCAGCAACTTTTACTGTGCCTGCCCCCCAGCTAATTGCAAAATCCCAAAGACACATTTGTAATTACCTCTGCTGCTCAACACCATTTAAAACTAGCTAAGAATGCTATTCAAGGTGAGTACTGTACAAATAATCACATAGAAATAATTCGAATGCATGTGGATGGCTGAGCGCACTGCAGTGCTGCTTTCAGCAGTGAGATCCATGTGCCTGATGGAATGACAAGTGGGACTCACCCCCCCGCCCCCGCCCCAGCTGTACATGTTGGTCTCACGGATGGCAGCTGAAGACCCCTGTGCTTGTGCTGGGCTCTCCTGGGCCCCTTTTATCACGGACAGAGCGCTAGGCAGTACCAGTTTGGGCGTTCACAGCACAATCCACACTCTGGGGCTGGCATTGCTGATGCCCTGTCTGTTACCGCCGCGCTGCCTTCTGGGTGGCAAGCAGCTATAGCCACACGCTGCAGCCTCACACGCCGCTGCCCTGAAATGCTCTGTTGCTCTAGCTTGTCAGGTGGTCTCAAGAGAG